GGGGCAGGACGGGGATTTCCTCTCGCGGTCACCCGGCCCTTCCTGGTATGTTTTTCCCTGCGGTTCGCGCTCTCTGCCGGCCCGCTTTGGCCTGTTCAAAATGTTGAACTAGTTCAAGTGTGTGGGAAGCTGGGGTAGCGTCCGATGATGACTGCGAAGGACGAGTGGCCGCGCCAGGGCGGGATCTTGTGTCAAACGTTAACCTGAGAGGGGGGAAAAATAAAGTAAGAAACGACCCGGCCTGCCTGTTCGTTTAACTTGGGGCTTGAAGCCGTCACGCAAAGCCTGATTCGGGTTCCGCGGTGTTTTTTTCGAAAGCCGCTCAAATAGTTCTGTGAGGATCCGCACAGGTCGGGCTCCCAGGCGAGACGCCTTCGGGCTTCAGCCGCTCCGGCTGCTTTCCCAAGTGTTGCATCTCTAAAAGTCAGAAGAGCCGCAGCTACTGATGCTTTATTGCGGCGAGATCTAAAACAAAAATAGCAGCGGGAGGGCCGAGATCAGAAAAGCCCGATAATCCTCTTCAGCGGCTACACTGAGCCCGGGGCCGGACAGCCCGGGCCGGCTGCCCTCGGCCTCATCCCGCTCCCGTGGGAAGGGGCGAGTTTGGGCTGAGGGTCTCCGCAGTGTTTTGGGTGCTCTAGCAGACCTGCGAAGAGACCCGCTTACTCTGTCCCTTAAAACGAGGCAGGTTTTGCGAAAGCAGTAGAGTGTCGCAATGGTTTAGTCTATTTAAATTGCAAAGTAAAACTTTTTGGGTTTTAGTAAACCTGGAGTAGAGCGAGGTTGAAGACCCTTAGAAAGATAGTACCAAAAAAAAAGAGCGGTAGATAAAGGCTGAGTGTGCGTTCAGAGCTTGTAATTAATTACATGCTTAATCCAGTTCCCAAGGGCCTAATGAAGAGAGTGTGAAGCTGAGAAGCTGGCTCGTTTTATTTTATTTTGTTTTTCCGTAATCCAATAAAAAGGACAAGAATATATATAATTTTTTTGAAGGTCACTACTTTAATTTGTGTCTCTTAAGGCAGGTGGTGGAAGGGTGTGTGTAGGTGTCTGACTCCTGTCCTTTGCCGAGATTCCCATGGAGTCAGAAGGGTTCCTGCTGTGGAGCGATTTCGATCCCGGGAATCTTGAAAAATCTAATTTGTTCATAAAGCACCCGCTTTCTTCACTGGGACGGGAAACATTCGAAGCGTGCCCTAGGCAGCCCTGGAGTTTTTGGGTTCATTTTGAGCAGGTCCTTAGTTTCCCCTTTCTTTGCACCCCGACTGCTGGGGGGGGGGACGGGGAACTCTGCGGGGCGTGCGGGTTCGGGCACTGCTAACCGAGCTGTCTCTCTCCTTCCCACTCTCCTCCGACTGCTGCCCGGCGCAGGGCGGCTGAGCCCCCCGGCCTGCACCCTGCGCAAGCACAAGACAAACAGGAAGCCCCGGACACCCTTCACCACGGCGCAGCTGCTGGCCCTCGAGAGGAAGTTTCGGCAGAAGCAGTACCTGTCCATCGCCGAGCGCGCCGAGTTCTCCAGCTCTCTCAGCCTCACCGAGACCCAGGTGAAGATCTGGTTCCAGAACCGGCGTGCCAAGGCCAAGCGGCTCCAGGAGGCTGAACTGGAAAAGCTGAAGATGGCAGCCAAGCCCATGCTCCCGCCCGCTGCTTTTGGCATCTCCTTCCCGCTGGGCGGCCCAGCCGTGGCCAGTGCCTCTCTTTACGGGGCGTCCAGCCCTTTCCAGCGGGCAGGGCTGCCCGTGGCTCCTGTGGGACTGTACACAGCACATGTGGGATATAGCATGTACCACCTCACATAGAGCTGAGCCCTGTCGAGCCCAGCCTGCCGGCTCTCTGCTCCTGCTGGCCCCTCGCACACTCCCTCCCTACTCCTCTGGCTCCTTGCTGCGGCCTTCTCCATGGACCCCGTGGCAGAGACTTCTCTAGTCCAGCTCTGCTCAGCCTCTGCTTCCCTCTGTGATGCTATTTTCCCCCGTTCCACACTCCTCAGCAGTCCTGGGAGCTGCTCTGGTTTCTGGCTGGCAGAAACCTGAGGCATCGCCCCAGCCCCTCTCCGGCACAGGGCAGTGATGGCCCAACCCTGTCCTGCTTCCCCGGGTCCCGCTGGCAGCCTGGGGAGAGCCCCTCGCTGTGGGGGAAGGAACTATGGATGAGAAATGGCAAAAAGGGGGCTGAAAGGCAGGACGTTTCTTTTACTTTCTGCAAGGCAAGGTCAAGAGGCAGAAGTGTAGTGCAGCCTCTCCCGTCCCTGTGTAACAGCACCGTCTGTTACCTGTGTTTGTTCCTTCACTAGCTCCTTTGGAAGGGGCTCTGTGTACTATGTAATATACTGTATATTTGAAATTTTATTATCATTTATATTATAGCTATATTTGTTAAATAAATTAATTTTAAGCTACTGTTTGATGTGATATGTTTGCTCCTTACCCTGCCGGGGGTGACAGACGAAGAGGTTAAAATTCTCTGTGTTGGGGAACAGGAGAGAGTACCAGCTGTACCAGCCTTTTTTCTTGCTCCCCAGGAGACTTCAGCCTCAGACAGTGAGGCCTCCGTCGAGTTTTCAGCTTGCTGTGTATCCCCGAGCTGCCTTGTCCTCACAGCTGCCTGAGGTTTCCTCTTGTTTGTTTTTTTTGTCCCCCACTACTTCTCGGCGGCAGCTCCCAGCGCATTCCCTCGCCCGAGGGTGCAGGCCGGTGCTGCCGCTCTCCCCGGCAGCCCCGCGGCCGGCACAACGCGGGGCTCCCCACAGCCCTGTCGAGGCTTTCCCAGCTCCAGGCAGGAGGAAAGCTGGTTTTCTCCCTGCCGGCGGCCTATTGCCGGGAAGCTTCTGGCTGCAGCGCCCGGCGGCTGCTGGAGGCTTTGGGGATGGGGTGACTTGCCCCCCACCTCGGTGTTAAACCGAGCAAGGGCTTCTGCTGTTTCCTTCGGCAGCGCGCATTGCTCAGGGGAGGGGAACATCGGGGGTGTTGGAGAGGAGAGGGGGCTGTTGTGGTCAGGGTATCCCGGGAGAAGGGGGAAAAAAGCTCTAATAGCCGAGAGGCAAAGGCAGAGCCATCGCCGAGGAGTCGGGTGATGAGGACGGGGCTGTTATGAATACGGGATGGTTGGGGATGGTGTGTGGGGAACGGTGATGCTCGGGCACGGGTGTGAAGCCGCGGCGGGCAGGCA